CTCAGAGATCGGTCACAATTAAAACTAAAGCTCCAATAGCACATATGTATCAAATTTATATCTGCTCCAATCATGAGACTCTGCCGCTTATAGTAATTAAGTATATACATTAAACATCTACTATAGGAGTAAAATCATAAAATGGAATTCAAAACATGCTACTCACCATACCATTAACTTCACCAATATATTTTTTTTCTTGAAGCAGAACATAAAATGAGTTTTCCAGCTTCTTTAAAACTATTATGGCCTTTTCTTCTTGTAAAAAACCTGACAAAACAAAAACAAGTCCTCATAAACTCTCTGACTCTGAATTTTATTTTGGGTTTTTTAAATACTTTTGGGCTTGTTGGCTGAGCGTGGATAATACCATGCCTGACTGGCCAAACAGTGGAAAAGTGTATAATTTGTGTTCTGAAACAAAAGCATAGACCTTATGCAACTTAGATAACTTTGTACAAATATGCTGATTATGTGCCCAAGTCTGAGAATAGTAATGTAGTTTTAATGTGAGGTAATGTGATATTTAAGAGCTTCTATAGAAATATTATTTTCTAATCAGTTTTTGATGGTTGGGGTGACAAAAGCATTCTTATAGTTATTTTTTCCAAAATGGCAAATCATAATATTGAACGCTTTTTAATATACACTGTGTATCTATAAGCTTGCCTTCCTGTTACTTGTTTTGTTACTGTAGAAAAATGCTAAAATATACAATGAAACTCAAAGATCATAGGAAAATAGTTTTTGTCTGTAGGATTAACCTGTTAGTGTTTCCTGTATTTTAGACCAATTCCAATGGAAAAATCCCTATTATTCACTTGTGCTTTCTTAAAATGGAAGCCAAACTTAGACAAAAGTTATATTGCTCTGCAATAATATACAAAGTTAATTAATCAGCTACATTTCTATATGAACACAATAATTCATTAAACTCACTAATTCACTTTATTTGAATTTAATCATAGGTATAAATCTGACTATTTCTATAATTAAGTTTATTTTCCCCCTTTCCTATAGACTAAACATAGCCAGTTCTTTTATCTTTGCCTTATAAGCCTAGCATTCTAAATCTTGTGTCCACTCAGTTCAATCTTTTACATTTTGTAATTTTTCCTTTAAAGATTCAAAATCCTCAAGTATGTGTAGTTATTAATAGGTTGGAACAGAGCAATGGTTTTAATCATAAGTTTTATATTACTGTATCTGGTCAGTCTTTCTCTTTTAAAATATTTACTTAAAACATTATTATTCTGTTTTTCATTATATCTTACTTCAAAACCGTATACTGTAGAAAGCAAATATAATTCTGCATGAAAAAGCACCAAAGCTCCTTAGTTAAACCATTAAAACCACTTGAAATTCCCAGATCAATAAAATATCTTATGATTGCATTCTACAGCAATGATGACTTCTTGTTGTTGGAGTTTTTTAAAATAATTATTATAGCAAAAGTTAATTAGTTCTATCACCTGCTTATTAGAATTTTTTTAATGTGATTAAATGTCATCAATTAATCCCAGATAATTATTGCTCAGGAATAATGGGAGTGTAGTTCAGCCTAGACAACTCCAGTTTACCATCCCTACTCTAGTCCAGGGATCTCCAACCTTGGCAACTTTAACCTGGTGGACTTCAACTTCAGCTGGGGAATTCTGGGAGTTGAAGTTCTCCAAGCTTAAAATTGCCAAAATTGGAGGCTCCGGCTCTAGGCCAATCTTATAGAGAAGCAATTTCACTCATCTCTTGTGCATTATGGTGTAATGTCTATAATATTATTGGCTGGAATATTAACATATGCAATACGTAGCTTTCTGTACCACAATTCCAGTGCAACACTGACTGCCCTATGAGGCAAATTCTTCTCCCAGAGAGAGGTGGGGGGGATGTTGCATAACATGGAGCTCTCCTGCCAGAGCCGTAATTTTTATTGTTAAAATACATTTCATCACTCAGAAAAAAAAGAGTTGTTTTTCTTGCATTTTGCTCTATCTGTGTTTTTTTTTTTAATGGATTTTAAAATATATATTTTTTAATCTAACTTTTTAATATTATAGTTGTTTATTACATGACAAAGATGAAACATCATGGAAATCAACTACAACATGTATATCAATTTATGTCCAAACTACCAATCTTAAATATTTGTTTCTGGGGCAATAATAAAGGCACACTGCCTTTCTAATCCACAGGGTGAATCTAAACAGAGTTTTAATCATGTGCAAGAATTGAGAGCGTTCAGTGAGCATAAATGAAATATTCTAGTGCCAGACAGATATCGCTACTACAAAGCTTGCCAGCCCATAGAATTAAGTATGAGAACTTTATAACCAGGAGGAAAAATTGTTCCAATTGGAACAGAAACACTGCTGGTGGATTGCACCTCAAACATAACAACTTTCTTTAGAGAGAATTGGGCCATGTCACAACTATAACATTGTATAGAAACACTGCTATATGGATTTTGTTTTATAAAGGATTCCTTTGGGTAGTTATAGGCCTTTCTTTAAAAATGTAGGCTTCAGCACCACATATTTGGGCACTTACATGCCCGTCCATCAAGGATTTTCCAGCTCTGATCATAAAAGCCAGAGCTGGCTATACTAGATAAGATTTGATTAAAGGTCTCACTTCTTGTTAATTGTCTGGGCCTGTTTATGGAAAGCTTTGCAATCCTCTATACTACTTCTGGCATTGTTCAGGTTTTGCCAGGTTCTCTGATCCCTGAGTTGTTTGCTACCATAAGACTGTTCAGAGCTCTTGGGCCAGTGAAACAGCATAGCTAGGGTATTAGACTAATTGAATTATTGACCTACTCCAGTCTGAACGTCCCTGTATCTTATAAGACGTGCTTTGCAACTCTGTGTACATCATTCTGCTGTCTGGGATGACATCTGGCCTTCACATTATCATGTCTCATATCCATTTGCACTACTGGTATGTACTTTTGAGAGCACTTGATTAATCTTCTTTATCAAAACATTTGAAGTATGTTTCTGTAGCAGTTTTGGGAAATGTTTTAAATATAATGTATGTGTGAACTGTTCCTGTAAATGATAGAACAAAGGCATCATGTCTTTGCTTCCCCAGTGGAAATACTGGAATCATAAATCAGAATGGTTTTATATGTCTGTGTCCTGATGCGGTTGCAAAACCCAGTTGCTTTTTTATGGAGCAGGGTTGCGAGTTCTGATAGCCTGCTTTTTTGTAGACACATTAATATCCCACCAGACAGATTGTTCAGAATGTTTTAAGAGCAGAATGATCAATCTGGGGCCCTTAAAACGGGGGTGGGGAGGGAGATCAACCTCTGACAGCATTTTATAAAGTAGAATGTATATTAGCAACTAGATTTCTGCAAAGAATGACAGTTTTGCCTTGAGAATGCTGGGTGAGTGGGATTGCCCGTTGTTTATTCCTATTCGTCATTGGAGTTGTAGCACAGTAAATGTGCATCTGCGCACATGAAAGCACATGCAAATTGAATTAACACTGTTGCACATGGCACTCCGAAGCTTACTCTCAGTTTCTATTCCTGAGCATTCAAATTGTTGGGGGCAATATGCTGACTCTGTAAACTGCTTAGAGAGGGTTATAAAACACTATGGACTGGTAAATAAGTCTAAGTCCCATTGCTGTTAAATAAGGCAATAGCCTTTCTTACTTATAGGCAGAGAAAGAAAAAAGAGTGAGTAATCAGAGCACATATTTTACCTTTGATCTAGTTCTTTATTTTGTTTGGGATATAAAAGCATCCCCAATAAAATATGAAGTATCTATACAACACAATACAATAGCAGAGTTGGAAGGGACCTTGGAGGTCTTCTAGTCCAACCCCTTGCTTAGGCAAGAAACCCTACACCACTTCAGACAAATGGTTTTCCAACATCTTCTTAATGACATCA